AGGCCTATGCATCCTATAATTAAGGATCAGAAACAAGCTGATCTGCCATGTAATGATGGTGGCACTTCTGTGGAGTCTTGTCAACCCAAATCTGAATGTAATGGCGATATAAATTCTGTACAACCAGCTAAGAATAGGAAAGTCAATGGTGAATCTGATTTTTCTGTAGAGACACACCTGCCACCTATTCCGAAACAGAGTTCAGCTAAACAGCCAGTCGAGAGTTTGTGGAAGCATCCTGCTGATTTAAGGCAGCCAAAAAGTCAAAATTTTTCTAACCGGAAGCCTTCTCCTATCAGCCAAAGTTCCGTGGATTTAAAGTTGGGAAGCAAGAAATACCTTCCTGCAAAAAAGCCGATTGTAGCCAGTACACCCTATCAGGACACATCAGTGGAGCGTCTTATACGGGAGGTGACTAATGAGAAGTTTTGGCATCACCCAGGTATTAAACAAAACATAATTCATGTCTCTTTGTGTGTGTGGCTATATGCATTGTTTGTGACAGTGTGTTTTTTTGGCTGAAAAGATAGAACATAGGACCTGTATATTGCATCTGCTCCAAATTCTTAAGATGGGGTGGGAAGTACAAAATTGTAGAGGACAGATTAGAGATGTATCCAGAAGAGTTTGCAAGTCAATAACTCATAAAAGTTGGACAAACCAGTCTCCGCACTGATCTTGTTTTCTATATTTTTTTACCAGTTTGGATTTTTTGGCCATGTGCATTTTGTATCGTCTACAATTTTCTCTCTCCATTGCAATAGGGAACTGTGGATCAGCTAGGTTTTCTTGTGCTCGTCCTTAATAAGTAAAAGTTGATGTTTGTATTGCTCAGGGCCAGGCCCCATGCATAGCAGAGGAGATTTCACGGCTACATGTGGTGGGCGGGGTCCAACCGTCCGGAGAGCCTCTTGGATGGAATAAGCTTGTGGTCTATTAAGTTCTTGCCATTTAAATTTACAGCCACCATCTTTATGTTTTTGTTTTCCCCTCTAATTTTTTGGCAGGGTTTACATGTGCATATTTTACTTTCTTGTTTTCTACATGCATCTCATATTGTAATTTTCTAAATAAAACAAACAAGTTTGAAAGAGTTTTGCTTGCCAATTTACATGTTCCTAGGTGGTGGTCAAAATGTTAACTTATGTTTTTGCTGATTCTGTGTAGTTAATTGAAATTTAATTACCTTACATATATATATCCAGTAAGAAAATATGTGGATGTAGATTCTTTCTCTATGTTTCTTTGAGAGCTTTGTTCTTTCCTTTACCTTTTTAGGTCCCTGCATTATTTGAATCATGTTTTGTTTTATTATTGTGCACCAGAGGACTCTGAGCTCCAATCTGTTCCTGGTCGCTTTGAGTCTGTAGAAGAATATGTTAGAGTGTTTGAGCCTCTGCTTTTTGAGGAATGCCGAGCACAACTTTACAGCACGTGGGAGGAGTCAGCTGAAACCAATGCGCACATTATGGTTCGCATAAAGAGCATTGAAAGGCGGGAAAGAGGTATGGAGTCAGAATTATTATAGTGTAGTGGTGTATATCTATCTTCTGTTTTGTTGACTGATTGAAAAAAATATTTTTTGGGGCCATAGGATGGTATGATGTAATTGTTCTTCCAGTAAATGAGTGTAAGTGGACATTCAAGGAGGGCGATGTTGCTGTTCTTTCAACTCAAAGGCCTGGAACAGGTTTGTTATTACTGCCAAACCTTTGCCATTCTGCTTAATTGCATTGATCGTCATTTTGGTTTTCTGATATGCAAACATTTATTTTCATCATGTCAAGCAGTAAGATCCAAGAGGAACAACACCTCGTCATCAAATGAAGATGATGAAGAGCCTGAGATCAATGGACGCGTGGCTGGTACTGTTAGAAGGCACATCCCTTTGGATTCTCGTGATCCTCCTGGTGCAATCCTTCACTTTTTTGTTGGGGACTCTTATGATCCTTACAGGTTATTTCCTAAATTTGTTCTCTGGTGTTTATGCTTGTTTTGAATGTTTTTTAGTCACCAGACTTTTTGATCTTATGAGACTTTTGTTCTCTTTATTTCTTACTAACTGCTTGCTTGCTTGTTCTATAATTTGTTTTCACCAGCAAGGTTGATGAAGATCATATTTTGAGGAAACTTCAACCTAGAGGCACCTGGTATTTGACTGTCCTTGGTTCTCTTGCAACCACCCAGCGTGAGTATGTTGCGCTGCATGCATTTTGCCGGCTCAATTTGCAGGTAACAGCCAAATTCTCCTTGTTAATACCTAAGTTTTGCCTTATGTTTTGTATCCATATACCTCTACATACAAGAAACTAAAAGTTCTGTTTCCATCTTGGTAGATGCAAACTGCAATCCTAAAGCCCAGTCCTGATCACTTCCCAAAATATGAGCAGCAGAACCCAGCCATGCCTGAATGCTTCACACAGAATTTTGTTGACCATTTGCGTAGGACATTCAATGGACCCCAGCTGGCTGCAATTCAGTGGGCGGCAATGCATACTGCTGCTGGTACAAATAGTGGGGTAACTAAGAGGCAAGAACCATGGCCCTTTACTCTTGTACAAGGGCCTCCAGGGACTGGTAAGACACATACAGTCTGGGGAATGCTAAATGTCATCCATCTGGTTCAGTATCAGCATTACTATACTTCTTTGCTTAAGAAACTGACACCCCAGAGCTATAAGCAAGCCAATGAAAGCAATTCTGACAATATTGCTCTGGGGTCAATTGATGAAGTTCTTCATAACATGGACCAGAATCTCTTCCGCTCACTTTCAAAACTCTGTCCGAAGCCCAGAATGTTAGTCTGTGCTCCTTCTAATGCTGCCACTGATGAACTTCTTGCACGTGTTCTTGATCGTGGATTTATTGATGGCGAGATGAAAGTTTACCGGCCTGATGTGGCCAGAGTTGGGGTTGATTCACAATCACGTGCTGCTCAGGCAGTTTCTGTTGAGCGGAGAACTGAGCAACTTTTAATCAAGAGCCGCGAAGAAATTTCAAAATGGATGCAAGATTTAAGAGGCCAGGAAGCTTATTTCTCTGCACACATCGCTGACCTTCAAAATAAGCTTAATTTTGCAGCTGTGGATGGTCGTTCCCAAGGATCTGTGGGTGTTGATCCTGATGTTCTCATGGCCAGGGACCAAAACCGAGATGCATTACTTCAGAACCTTGCAGCTGCTGTTGAAAGCAGGGATAAAGTTCTAGTTGAGATCTCTCGCCTTCTCATTTTAGAACCCAGGTTTCGTGCTGGTAGCAATTTTAATCTGGAAGAAGCCCGTGCTAGTCTCGAGGCAAGTTTTGCCAATGAGGCTGAGATTGTTTTCACTACTGTCTCAAGCAGTGGTCGTAAGTTGTTCTCTCGTCTCACTCATGGTTTTGATATGGTAGTTATTGACGAGGCTGCTCAAGCCAGTGAAGTAGCTGTTCTTCCTCCCCTTGCACTTGGCGCTGCACGGTGCGTTCTTGTTGGCGATCCTCAGCAGCTTCCTGCAACAGTTATCAGCAAGGCAGCTGGAACCTTGTTATACAGTAGAAGCCTTTTTGAAAGGTTTCAGCAAGCAGGATGCCCGACAATGTTATTATCTGTGCAATATAGGATGCATCCTCAAATCCGAGATTTCCCTTCACGGTACTTCTACCAAGGACGTCTCACTGACAGTGAAAGTATCACTAATTTACCTGATGAGACGTATTACAAGGACCCTTTGCTTAGACCTTATCTATTCTATGATGTTACTCATGGGCGGGAGTCTCACAGAGGTGGATCTGTATCTTATCAGAATATACATGAAGCACAATTTTGTCTTCAGTTGTATGAGCATCTTCAGAAATCTTTAAAATCGTTGGGCATGGGGAGAATCTCGGTTGGCATAATCACTCCATATAAGCTGCAGTTAAAATGCCTCCAACAAGAGTTTTCAGCTGTTTTAAAGTCCGAAGAAGGGAAAGATATCTATATTAATACCGTCGATGCTTTCCAAGGCCAGGAACGTGATGTCATTATCATGTCTTGTGTACGGGCCTCAAATCATGGTGTTGGCTTTGTTGCTGATATCCGCCGAATGAATGTTGCTCTTACCCGTGCCAGAAGGGCTCTATGGGTATGGTTTGTTTAGTACCTTCTCTCTCTCTCTCTCTTGCTGTTTTTTTTTTTTTTTAGTACCTTCTCTCTCTCTCTCTCTCATGCTGTTTTTTTTTTTTTTTTTTGGCATTTCATATTTTAGCTTGCCATTTGTGCCATAACTTGCTAGCCACTGAACTTGATTTCTCAACAGGTCATGGGGAATGCCAATTCTCTTGTGAAGTCGGAAGACTGGGCTGCATTAGTCTCTGATGCTAAAGCAAGAAACTGTTATATGAATATGGACTCCCTTCCCAAAGAATTTTTTGTTTCAAAGGGAACACTGGGCAAAGGTTCTTCCAATGTAAGGGGTCTGAGGTTAGGTGGACCAAGACACAGATCATTCGACATGCATATGGAATCCAGATCAGGGACACCATCAGAGGATGATGAGAATTCAGGTCCATCTGTGATTGCTAGGAATGGGAGTTACAGGCCTTTTAAGCCACCAATGGATAATTCGTTAGATGAGTTTGATCAATCTGGTGATAAATCAAGAGATGCCTGGCAATATGGTATACAGAAGAAGCAGGGTTCCTCAACAATCATAGGAAAGAGGGACTCCTAGAAGTTTTGGTAGTTGTCTGCAAATTCCTTTTGAACTTTGGGGTAGCATCGCCATGTTATATTTCCCTAAATTTGTTACGTGGTCTCCTAGTGCCATAAAGGCCTTTTGAACCTTGGCTCCTTGTTTCGATGAACATCTGCTAAACACCATCTGGACCTAGTTTGGGCTGCTTATGCCAATAGCTTCTGCCGAACAGAATGTGAAACAAGTGGTGCTGCGCTAATGGTGAATGCTTAAGTGGATAAGTTGATGATTGCTTTTGCAGTAGGCCTGTTTGGTCGAATTGATTCCTGCAATATCTACGAGGGGATGGGGGTGCTTTTGGGTAGGTTGTGGGAGATCGAACCCTTAACTGACCAGCTTCCAGGTTTGAAGGTAAGAATTTATTTTGTTAGATGTAATAACATCAGGTTTAATTTAAGCGTCTCCCTTGGCGATTACTGAGTTGATAGCATGTGCTTTGGATTTGCTTGAATACCAGGAATTGGTTGGTGGCATCGGGAAGCTTTTTGCATAGTTAATTACTATGAGATGCCTCTATTTTTGCAATGGAACCCATGCAAATTGAGAAATACTTTTGATGTCTTTTTAAATTGATATGGGGAGTTGGAGTCTTCAGAGTCGTGTATCCCCTGTTGTAGCTCTCTTATTGCATCTCATATGGACTCTCCTTGGTTCTCCGTCGATATTAGTGCTTTGGCAAAGAGTTCACATTTGGAAGATGCTGTGTACATTACATTATTTGGGCGTGCAAATGCACTAGGATGACATCTGAAGGGCTAAGACACTGGATGGTTTAACCAAAGTGTTCTTTCTTCCTGTTGTTTCTTCTAATTATTTTTTCGAAGGGTAAGTAAACTTATGCCAGCAACAGATGGGAGATTCACAAAATTCTGTATAGAAAAAAGAAGGAAAGTACAGGATTTGTTTAACAAAATTCCAATACTAGACGCATTTGTGACTTCAACTGACTTTGTACATACATCTTCAGCTGTGGAATCGTATGTATCTTCTTGTTTACATGAAAGAAAGTTGTAAGTTTCTCCATTTTTTTTTAAAGAAAAGAAGTAATTTTTTATCTAGGTGGCAAGTAATTTTGTACGTGCGGGCGACGTTGCGAACGGTGCTTGCCAATACTGTTGATTACTACTTTAAAATAATAGAAGCAGTATCTCCCTTTTGATGATAAGAAGGTTTCGATAATGTCACGTGCTGTTGCATAAGGAATTGGTACGTCGGTCTGAAGTCGGCAAGTGTTTGTTTGTTTTTTGTTTTTTTATTTTTTTTCCCAAAGCTGTGGCGCAAGACATTTGTGTTTCTTTGTTCATGTTTGTTTATTTCTCATGGAGTCAAACTTTGGTTCTTCTATTCTCAATTGTCTATATTTTTTGTTTTTCATTTTAAGTTCATTCATCTATATTTTGTTTTCGTTTAATACTCATTTTTTTGTAAACTTTTGATCATATGACGTTTTAACTTTTTTTGTATTAATCTTGTTCTTTTTATCAAAAAAATAAATGAATTTGGAAAAAAAAATAGAAAAATATAAGTGGTCATTCTCTTTAAAAAAAAGTAAGGTGAAAATATATATATATATATATATATATATCATTTATGGATTTAAATTTAACGTTATGATTGTAAATAAATTGTAAGTATAAAATAGAATATTTAGAGTATTTTATTTTAAATGTGAAGAGCGTTTCAATTAAATTTTAATTTTTAAATTGTATTTATAATTTTATAATACCTAAAAAAGTCTAATTTAATTAATTTATTTTAATCTTATAAATTTTAATTTTTTTCTTTTTGAAAAAATTAACTAAAAAACTATTCATATTTTAAAAAATACTATAAATATTTTATTTTATTTTATATTTAAAATTTATTTATTATTATAGAGATAAATTTAAGTTCATAAATAATATCTTAGAAAAAAAATTTCTTTGCTTTAATTTTTTTATCGGCATTTTTTAGAGAATATGAATGAATATATCTTTATTTTTTAAAAAAAAATTTGAAAAAAAATAAAGAGTAAAAAGATGAGATTAAGATAAAAAAAAATTAATAAATAGACAATAGTAAGACGTAAACAAATGTAAATAAATAAATTTAAGATGAAAAAAATAAAAAATAAAACATGATAAGACAAAAAATAAAGAGACCTATGCAACTATTAATCCATTTCTTACGAATAATTTTCATTGTAGAGTCAAATTAAGTAACCTTAGAATATAGTTTTGAAAATCGATCGCCCATGCCAGGTCATTCATTTACTAGTCTCTCTCTTTTTTTCTTCTTTTTTTCCCTCCTTATTCTGGACATCTCAAATATTGAAGGTTTTGATTTGGTGCTCTGATTGAATTTATGATATTTGAATATAGGCGAGACATACAAGAACATGGTTGGTTAGGTACTATCCTCTCATGTTACTATGCAAATGTGAAGGTTGTGTTTCGCTTTTGGAATATAATAAATGATGCATTTTCATATTCATTTATTCCCGAAACCCAAGAGCCTCTGGGACTTGGCCCGCTATAGCTGGAAGGTCCGACCCTTTTGTTTATTTTTTTCCCATCTTTCAGATCAAATCATCTACATAATCTATTACTCCCCTGATATAGTGATATGTTCAAAATCGTAATTTTTCTTTCCGGCAAATAATACACAATAAGGCAAGAGCAGAGTTTTAAAGCTTAATGTGATCCCTCAACTCTTGGTTTGGTCAAGTTTGGACCTCTTACTTTGTACTAATCTCAACTGAATATTTTCAATTTTATCATTAGTTGATCCTTCCGTCAAGACCTGCAATTAAACAATGTTAATTAAATCACATTCATTCCGTTAAGTGTATAATGTCCGTAAACTTAAAAGAAAGTTAGGAAAACACAAATATCTTGTGAATGATACTTTAACCAAAAGAAAAATAGCAAACTAAAAATAATATGAAAGACCTATTTTTTTATTTTATCACTTACACTTTACTAAAATCAAGAAGTTAAAAAATAAATATGATGAAAAAAAGAAGAAGTTAGAAGGTATTCAAATTGAATGCATAAAAATAAAAATAAATAAAAATTTCAATAGCGAACAATTAAACATTATATTATGTATTTAGTTGTTTTATAATTCAAGAGTATATTGATTTGAAGTTTTTCATTAAAACTGTAGTAAACTTGATTTTGCATGAGTAGAAGTTTTTGTATACATGAGATATTAATAACAAACCTAATAATTTGTTGGTCGTCAGCCTATTGTTCCTCCTACTTCAAGAGGATTTTTTTGTTCAAATGAATGCAATAAGCTTATAGAAATGCTTTTATTGCTGTAGGAAAGATGATGTTGATGGATATGTCTTATGGGGCCACTGAAAGAATGTTGAAACATGGAAGAACGTTTCACCTCGATGAGGTGATTTTTTTTTTTAACTTTCATGATGTTGTGATTTTTTTCTAAGATCACTTTTGCGTTGGCATAGAGAGTGAAAAAAAGAGCTTGGAAATTTTAAATGTTGTTACCTTTTCAACTTCTTGAGATATGAATAACAAGTCTAATAATCCCTAAAGTTTTTGGATGTATTGTATTTTAATGGGAGAATTATTGTTGGCGTCTATTAAACTTTTTATCAAAAGAAGATCAACACACGTGGCAGATTTTTTTTTATGCGATTTGAAATGAATTTTTTAGTCATTTGACTTTCATATATTTTTCACACCTGCTTTGAATTTGATTGACAACAAAATTGAACTTGATTGCTGATTAAAAAATAAAATAAAAGATTAAAAACTCGTTTCCATTTGACAAAAAATTCAAAATATTATAAAAACCACTTACCCCTTTTTTTAAAACTCCACAAGCTATGGCACATAAACTTTAAATTTATTATCATTGAAGGAATATGCCAATAAACTTCAATGCATCAACAACACTGCTTACAGTAAGATCATAGCCCCCATAAACCAAAGACAAGAAAAGTTGGAATTCAATAATCTAGAACAGAAAAAAAGACTTTGAAAAATGTGTAAAGACGGTTCAATTTTTTCAGAGAATGGTCATAGTATCAAGTCTTTTGAGCTAATTAAGCAGAACCATAAATGGTTACATTTTTTACGGAAATGCCAAGTGAAAATCCAATCCAAGTGCTAACACACTTGTACTGTTTGGCTGGTATCAATGGATAAAGATTTTCAAGAAAGGGGAGAGCGCTTCTGGGTATAAGATTAATAAAAATGAAAGTAGATGCAAATTAGTACAAAACTAAGAGTGGAAGGACGGAAGTGAGCTTTAAACTAACTAGTTCACACCAACATCCTTTACGATGTTACCATCTATGTATCCACCCACAAAGGCTAAGGGTGTCCACTGTTACTACCTTAGAGCTTTGGCTGATCCTTTTGGACATTCTTGTTCAAAAAGTGAAAATAATCCTTTAGAAATCATCGAAACCGTACGATCATATCTCAGGCTTTTAGAGGGTCATTTCCGACTTCTCGTTAATAGACAAAGAGTTGAAGCACGGGTCCACAACAACGAGTACCCATGTGCGTTGAAACAATAATTTTTGCATAAAACAACAAAGCTTTACCAACTCAGACTTCGTATATTCTTTTCCCGGTTTCTTAAATTCCGATTTGGTTTGTGGATCCAAAACCAATCGTAGTTACTACACTATTCAAAGGATCAAAATTTAATAACAACAACCCATTTATATACATATACCCTTTTCATTGTTGACCCATTTTCTATCAGTTAAAACTTTAAAGCGCCCCTTTTCACCTGAAGAATCGGTCTTATCGCCCTTTTTAGGCTTCCTGATTGTTGAATCAGACAGGTTTGATTGTCGCTTCACTTTTTTTTTTTATTATTATTGTGATATCGAGTCACAGACTCTGTTTCATGGCTCTGTGTAAGACTGGTTCAGATTTGATGTCTGCTTATGATGATTTAAATGGTTTTGTGGGTCAATTATGTCCTTTTTTTTGTTTTATTGATCTGTTGAAATATAATCCAAAGACGTACTGATGCTTGAAATGAAGAGGAAAGAGAAAATCCTTAGAGCTAAAGAATGGCTTATGCTATCAGCATTGAAAACCCTCCTTTATGCCTATGTGTCAAGAAAATGAGTAGTACAATTGGGGTTATGGAGTGAGTGTTTTAAGATTTTTGTTCGGGCTAACTGTAAGATTTGACTTTTTTTTTTTTTTAGTGTTACTGAAGCTGTGCTGTTACAGCTTTGCCGAATACTGAAAGATAGGAATTTCAGTATTTTCTTTTAATTATAATAATGCAAGTGCCATCCATTGTTATTCTTAGCTCAGTAAGAGGAAAAGACATGGCAAAAATTTCGATTTTTTTGGTTAAAAAATTAATTTACCGATTCATTATAACAATCATGATTTTAATCTGATGCACAATTGATTTGGCAAAACCATTAATTTTGAATCCACTCTAGTTGGGTGCCAAATTTGAGTAAAGTCCCTTTTCCATGGTGAGCTACCGATTTGTTACTCATAGCTGTTAAACAAGTATCAGGAGTCTGCGTCCAATAATGTCAGGGCAGACTGATTGTTTAACATGATATCAGATCTGTCGCTCTCTATAAGTTTTGGATTCTTGTCTTGGCACTGCTTGAAATGAATAATTTTGAAAAAAATTGAGTTCTCAGCTGTTCCATTCAACTGTTTCCTAGCCTACATTTAGAGGTATTGGTTGTAAAGAACCATGCTTAAATATACTGTTAGACATACACTCTGACGGTCTGAAATCAAGAAATAGCTAGGAGATCATAGTATGGGGAAAATATTCTCACATTGCTTATTGAATCAGTAGTTTCTCAATTCTTTAAAATGAGATCTCTAGTGTTACGGACTTATGAGACGCCTTTTCATAAATACCATTAGTTTAACTGAATCCTTCTTTCTTGACAGATTTGCTCACGGTTTAATTGCTCATAACTGCATATGGCAGTGTTTTTATCTGGTTGATACTATCTTTCTTGCAGTTCAGCTTGTGTAAAATGTGTTCGAGTTGACCACATTTTGCTAAAGCGTATATACCTTCAGCCAAAAAAAAACACGATGTTTTATTATCAAAATTTGCTTTTATCCTCCCTACAATTCCTTTGAGATTAGAAAACGACTTGTAAATAGATTTTCTGTGTTTTATTAACTTCAACTTTCTGCAGTGTAACAAATCAATTCAGCCTGGCTGGAAAAGAAATAGCTTTAAGATATCTGCAAGCTTTTATTATATCATCTTATGGAATACTTTTATGTGGAATGATGGTTTGGTTCTTGAAAAACTGCTTCCATTTTCTACTTATATTCAAAGAATACAAACTACAGATGATAAGGTATGAGATAGAAACATGGATTATGATGTAATAGAATTATCTCAAATATTGGTTTACAGGGAGACTTAAAAAATGAGTGAGGGTGTAAAGAGATCCTCTTCAAATGGCTTTCAGAAGCCTTTGACAACTGAAGACCAGCAGGCAAAGGTGTATCCATCTTATCTGCTCATCTTGTTTGCTACTTAGAAAAACTTTCAAGCACATGACTCTTTCAAGTTTGCAGGTCAATGAAGTGAGAAGGTTGGTGGGGCCACTGCCAGAGAAGTTCTCCATTTATTGTTCTGATGCGTCAATTGCAAGATATCTAAGGGCACGGAACTGGAATGTCAAGAAGGCACTCAAAATGCTGAAAGAAACCTTAAAATGGAGAGCAACATACAAACCAGAAGAGATTCGCTGGGTATGCTGGCATTTTTCTCATTTTTGATCATCTCTGGTCCTTGAGAGGAAAGATCTGCTCTAGTGTTTAAGTCTTGATCAATGGATGAAGTCTCGGTAGGGTTCAACTTTAATGGTCAGCTTGAACTTTAATGAGCCTTGAAGCTCTCCTACATCTTTCATTAAATGCATTTTGGTGCACTGGGAAAATGGCCTCTAGTCATGTTCGATAGAATACTAAACCTGAGACCTATTTTGTAATGTTATTTCAAGAAGTTTTAACTTAAAACCATGCCTGTTAGGGGTCCAAGCATGATGAAACTGCCACCACTAATTAATGATATTCAAAATTAAGACAAATTAGGATTGGCTATGCACCTGGAAGTCCCAGTACAATTAGTAACAATATCCACCAGGAACTTAGCATTGTGGGTTTTGGGACTGGTCAAATTTGTTCTAGTTGTGGATTTATTAATGCAATGGTGTTTAATTCTGTCACTGTTTTTGTTTGTAATGCAGGAAGAGGTTGCTCATGAAGCACAAACAGGGAAAATCTACAGATCTAATTATGTTGACAAGCATGGAAGAACAGTTCTTGTCATGAGACCTAGTTGCCAGGTTTCATCTGACAATTTTTCCTGACCTTTCTGTGTCTTGTGATTTGTGAGGCTACTATTACTTAGGATTGAAGAAAAAGTCAGTCCATGTAGATACAACACTAGGACATGCTATTGATAGTGTGGAAAAAAAAAAAAACATAAATTGTTCATTCATGACTCTTGACCCCAAATATTCAAAGAATAAGCTTTGGGCCAGGACTCCGGCCAAACAATATAATCACAAGATTCTTCTCCTCCCACGAGATACGTGGTGGATTATGGTTGAAGTAGATTCTGAATGTGAATTTCATGATATGCATCATTGAGAACATCAACCTTAATGCAAACCCTAGTGACTGTTTTTAACCAATATTTTGGCATGATGCTGAGATCTGTTGTCATTTAGAATTGCGTACAGAAATAGCACTTCTCGGGGATCAAATTCAAAAGTGATCTACTTAGCTTTATGTCGGTTACCCATAATAACTTTAAGTTCGTTTTGACTGCAGAACTCCAATTCAATTAAAGGACAAATTAAGTATTTGGTGTATTGCATGGAGAATGCCATTTTAAATTTGCCACCAGACCTGGAGCAGATGGTCTGGCTGATTGATTTCAACGGTTTCAATTTATCGCATATTTCATTGAAGGTGACACGGGAAACAGCCAATGTTTTACAAGATCGTTATCCGGAGCGCCTGGGTCTGGCAATTCTGTACAACCCTCCAAAGTTCTTTGAACCATTCTGGATGGTAACCCCTTACCTGTTTCTGCTATCCTTTTACATGGTGCTTTAAATTTATGTTCTTTTTCATGATTTTTTAAATTTCTAATAGTTGAACGTGCAGAATTTTTATTTTATTTTGGCTCTTGCAATTATAAAGTTTTGATTATAGATCATGTTCTGGTTAATCTACTTTTGAATATAAGGTTTTCTATACTGCCTAAATGGAATTTGCTAGAAATTAGATTATAAGAATAACGACAACAACCACCACCAACCCTCAATCTGAAACTAGTTGGGTTGCCTATATGGATCCTTTTGCACCATTCAATGCTATCGACTCCAAATTTATCTCAGTATTGAGAGACTTTAGACATTCCAATGCCACTTCCCTCCACGTTAATTCAGGGCTCCCTCTTCTCCCTTTCTCCCTTACTATTGCAGTTTATTGCTTCTCTGAACCGAGGCTCTGGTATCCTATGATGGACATGGCCAAACCATTTTAGGTTCCACCACTCATTTTGTCACGGATGTGCACTACATAGCCTCACCAGCGTTCTGTAGAAATTACCTGGCATTTTATGTTCTCTTCTCTTAGTTCTGAGACACCAGTATAATTTTGAGAGTTCAACTTGGTAATGTGTGTGCTTATTTTATTTTATTTTTTTTTAAGTGTCCAATATTCAATTTCATGAACGCGTTTGCAAAATTTGATGCAGGAACTGTTTGAATTAGTTTCAAGTGTGAATTGTATGGATCAGTGGTTAATTTCAGTTCAATATGTTGCAAATTTGATGCAGGAACTGTTTGAATTAGTTTCAAGTGTGAATTGTATGGATCAGTGGTTAATTTCAGTTCAATATGTTGCTTCCGGCATTTGTTGGTATTTCTGAGCATTAAGGGGCATTCCAGTGTGTTTTGTTTAGTCACAATCCTGTCTAGTTATTTTTGGTCGGCTTTTCTGATTTCTAGCTCTGCGCTCTATATGCTAGTTTTGTTTGCTAGTGATGTCAGGATAATCTTTTGTTGCAGATGGCAAAAGCCTTTCTAGAGCCTAAGACTTACAATAAAGTCAAGTTTGTTTACTCTGATGACATCAACAGTAAGAAAATAATGGAAGATCTATTTGATATGGACCATCTTGAATCTGCATTTGGTGGAAAAGATAGTGTAGGTTTTGATATAAGTAAGTACGCAGAGAGGATGAGGGAGGATGACAAGAGGATGCCTTCTTTCTGGACAAGAGCGAGTTCTCCCTCAGCAGCACTACAGCCAGACCTGACATCTACTGCTTTGGACTCGCTTAACTTGGACTCAGATTCTGTTCCTTCTGACAATGATCAAACAGAAGGTTCCATGCCTCATGGAATAGATTCAGAAACTGTTTCCTCTGATGAAAATACCCTAGTGACTGATGTTAGCAAGAAAGAGTCAGAAGATCCACAACAATCTGAAGTTGTGAAACCTGATGACAAAGCACATGCGTGAATTTTGCCGAGGCAGGATGACCTGACAGCAGTTGGTGTAGGACAGCTGACGTATCATTTTAGTTAGAGACTCCAATATCAAGAGTTTCTGTTGATTTGTATCGATAACATTATCGAATTCAGCAAATGATTTTTCTTCATTCCATTGAATTTTATGAGATGGCAGTCAAGCAAGCATCAAATTCATTTCTTCACGTTCCTTTGTATTTTGATTCTCTTCAGTTGGTACAAACTTTCCACCAGCCGTAAGGACGAAAGACAATGCTACCTGAAATAACGAAAATATGAATCTGTTTCTGATTTTGTGCCTTTACTTTCGCCTTGGCAAAGCGTCTATTCTATTTCCATTTTGCAAATGATATCTTTCTCTGATGCACATTGTTTGAGGCTTTGCGCAGCTGTGCTGTCTTTAACTTTCCTTTCCATGAACCAAAACAAAAAATCTTTCGCTTGCCTCTCTGTGCCTGAAAGATGAACTTCGTCGTTTACGTATAGTGGTCCTAGTCTAGACTAGCAGGTTCCTGCATTGGGATGGTTAAATTGTTCTTGTCCAGTACATCACCTTGGTCTTTTTTTTTATTATTATTATTTTTTTTTCAACCAAGTCTTGTACCATGTAAACAATCTGTACATTCTGCTATTTTACATTGACGATCTTATTAAGATATCATGCATCAAGAGGTCGATACATTCTGGTCTCGGTTTAATTTTCATCCGTTTATTTGCCAAGAGATGATCACATGATCTATTAAGTACATAAATGGCACTTCAAATCATGTTATTGAGAACATAATGGAACCTTTCGTAAAATCTTAGACCGTTGAATAGAATTCAACAGTTTTATATATTATTTTAAATTCAAACTTCCCAACTATATATTTGAAAAATTATTCATCTCTATTTCTGAATTCAAAACTAAATCATCACCATTGATTTGAATCCAAAAATGTGAATTTTACAAATATGATCCATCATGTTCTATGATCCAAATCCATGCCGAGAAAAAACAAAACACAAAATGAGAAAGATTAGCTCGTATAATTCTGTGCACATTGTGCTGGCTAAAAGGTACCTTAAAAAAAACTAATATTTCAGTCCATCTTTTACAACATTTAAACATCACTATCAATCAAGAATCCTACCTCTTCCTTGGAAGAAACATGGGCAGGACCCAAGCAAAACACGTAGACTTGAATGATCCATACGGAAATTAAACAAATAGCAGTAGAAAGCTTTCCGTCCTATTGGCTAAGATAACCATATATATGTGCCCAAACGTATCCCATAAATAGCTTTTCAGCATTTTCTTATTTATGACACCAACAGCTATCATGATAGTAATGCAGAGGAAGATGGTCCCCTGAGAAAGCAAAAGAATGTTGGTATTCGCCTAAGGAGTTGGAAGCAAAAGAAGAGCCAGTAATTGAGGAAGACTCGGACGATGATAACAAGTAATTGAACTTACCAGTATGTGAGCAAATTAATGCCGCATATCATCCAGTCTCTGCCTATATAGAGCTAAACTCTGCAACAGCATTCAAAGAAGCAAAAGTGGGCAATGTCATATTCAGTTAGGTATTTGAAGGAAATAGCATCATGTAAATGACAACAGCAAAAGAAAGAAGACTATAGCAACAATTAGCTGGCATATTTTCCTTTTTTTAGAATGAGACTTAGGTCACGAAGTATGCAGCAATGACCCTTCTGCTACAGTAAGCACTCATATCATACCCACATGAGACCCAGGGGGGGTCTGTAAGACATGTGTACTGCACAACTGTTGGTACATGTTTAGATTATGGAGTTATAATTCCAAGAATATTCAGCAATTCAAGCAATAATGTCATAGGCAAAGAATGATCATATTGTTCATTCTTGTACGCACAATTTATTGATTCTTAGTTCTTTTACGGCTTTCCTCAATAATGTGTTTGCACAATATATTTTATGCATCTCTGTATCATATCCGTACTTCCTAGATAATGACACTACCATTTGTGCTGATGCTTTCTAGACCTAGGGGTTACCAGCCAGTCTAGCCAAAAAAGTAAATTACTGAAAAAATATATTGCATTTCAAAGTATAATTAACCAAGACAATTCATCTGACGGCCTTGGTTAAAACTTAGAAAGGTTACTCCCTGACACAAGCTTGTTTTGGTTGGTTGCTTCATCACTTGATTAGGGCAATTAAAATCCACAAGATGACTTTCTTTCAGGAAAAACTTCTCCATACTAATTTCAGACAGGTTACAACTGCTGAACTGAATCATCTATGTCACACTTAAAATCACCCAAATATAAACTACAGCCAGAATGAAAATTTACAAGTTCAGAAGCCAATATGATGACCAGAAGTCGCATACCCTAGTATATGCATACACACCAGCCTCAGTAGGTCCTGCAGGACTTCCCCTCCTAATGAATTCCCCCCTTTGAATATGTATAGCATTGGTATTCCAGTTGATAATTCTAAGTTGATAACCTGTCAGAACACAAAAAGATCAAAAAGTTAATACAATTGAGGAAAAAGAAAAGATAATGCAGAGATACAGCAACATCCCGAAGTAACTAGTTTATCACCTCCTGTGAAGTTAATTTGTCAAGGTACATGATTATGGACCTCAGTGAATTCCCATGGGCAGCAATCATCACATTCTTCCCAGATAGAAGTTGTGGTTCGATCTGCAACACAATATTCTGTGGTCAGATGCTAATCGATGCTATACAATGGCTTGAATCTTTAAGAAAACCATCCAAGCAATGGCAAGCAAACCATAAGAGAACTAGGAATAGGAAGCTTAGTCGTGCATACATGATCTTTGAAATAAGCAACTGCTCTTTCAGCACACATTTCCAAACTCTCGCCATTGGGTGGAGGTATGTCATAACTCCTCCGCCACTCATGAACCTTTTCCTTCCCAAACCTATCTGCTGTTTCCTGCTTATTAAGACCCTGCAATTCCCCATACCTGTGGAGAAGATCAGTTCATAAGATGCATAAAGTGGGGATCACAGACAAAAGCATATGATCAGGGAAGGAAACGGTATCATTACATTCTTTCATTTAATTGCCAAGCTGTTACAACTGGGATGGATTGCTTTTTCGTATCTTCACTAAAAATTTGACTCCATTCCCTTGCCTGTTCACTCTCATTATGTAAAATTATAGGAACCTGCCGCCAGTTTGATGGTCAAACATGATAGCAAATAAAGAAGGAAAAAGAAAAGACTTTTGAGGAAAAACTGGAGCCTAAAATGAGTTCATGTTCTTGCTGCATTTGTACACAAATAAGTTTCAGATGTGCCAGCCTGAGTAATTATTGTGCTGATGACAAATAACACAGGTTTAGCTCACATTAATGTAGGAGCGAGATATTCATCCAATATTATGTTAATAGCTTCTGAGATTTGAATGCCACATGCTAAAACTTCTGTTTTCTAACACCCAATGGCATGTTTCACCAAACTACCTTTTTGCGACGGTGCTGAGTCATGGCAAGCATAGCAGTCATCTGTGCACGTATCAAGGCTGATGTATATATCATGTCGACGGGTATGTTGCTGATTCTCTTACCAGCTTCAATTGCCTCCTCCACACCCTTCTTTGTCAATGGCACATCAACACAGCCTGTGAAGAGGTTCTTTTCATTCCATAGTGACTCACCATGCCTAATCAGTATCAAAGCTGCTTCGCCTGAAATAGATTATGATATAGCATTAAGAAGATTTCACCAAAAATAACTCAGCTCCAAATTTTAATCAGATGCCAAATAATGTCAATCAAACTATCTATCAACGTGATTTTTTTGCTAATGTATTTCAGCATCTTAGGATTCATGTTGCCAAATCTATATATGAAGAGACCTTTTTGAGAATAAAAATGCCAATTGAAATGAATTATTAATCTTCAATGGATATGAATTTTGGACCGAAATGAAACGGACTTACTTGATTTCTTTCGCAACTCATCGGTGCTGTTATTTGGGGGATATGAAACTGGTTGAACCACTGAAGTTTGAGAAGCCGAGGCTTGAGTAACATTAAAAGTCCTCTTACAAGAACTATAATTCCCTCTTCTTGACAGCCCAGTGTCGACTTTAAAACCTTTAGTTATCAGTTTCACCGAAGAATTGCCAAACTCATGATAAAATCCAGAGTTCTGGAGGTGTTGATGAGATTGTGCAGTCCCCACGGCTTGGTGAAACACAGCAGTGGCCATTCTGAAAATTTAAGATACCCGAAGAAATGATGTAATGCAAAGCCCACAAATAATTTTATATATATTCAAATGGGTTTCTTTCATTCAGCAAGAAGCACCTACTTCAACACAGTGAATTGAAAGATACACAACCTACAGTACAATCTACAGTAGGTTATAAGGCATTACAGAATAGCACATATTATATTCCCTTTCTATGGTTCAAATGAAAAAAACAAAACGAGCAAATTAAATCAACAATACTGGTAAAGAAAGCAGAAAAGACGCCTAAAAACTCAATAAGCGATAAAAAAAAAAAAAAATCAAAACGTAGATAATCCAAATAAGATCCAATTAAGCCAATCTTAATAGAGAGGGAGAGAGCAAGAATATAATAAAAGACATCAAGATATTGCTACAAAAGAAAAAAAAATGAAAAGAAATGCACACAGATCTATATTAGAAGGGCCTGCAGGTCCGATCAAAATCTCTCAAATTAAAGCCAATCAGTAGGTAATATACGAAAAAGAACATTAATAGGGAAACACATTATTAGTAGCAACAACATAGATTATTTTAAAGCAGCAAATTACCTTTCAAGAACGAACAGAAAACAAGAAGGAACCCAGAAACCAAAACGGCAAAGAAATGGGAAAAAAGGGAAAAAGCTAGGCAAGGAAAGAAGAAAGAATACAGTAGACGAATGGAAGCAGAAGGGAAGCTGACCTGGGGTTTATTTATATAATACAGGTAGTGAAGCGAAGAAAACGAGGGAGGAAGAGAGGGGAGAGTGCAATAAAGAGGAGAGTTTATTACGAGAAAAGTTGACGGAGAAGATGAAGAACAACTTAGCTAGTTACGTGTCAATTTCAGTTCTATTCTATTCTAAATTTCTAACAGGTGACAATATAAAAACAAGAGGGAAATTTGCTCCTAACTATTTTTATAGAAGAAATCGTTGGGTTGTTGTCTCTCCTTTTCCTTTCATTTAACCTTTTCTACTCTACTCCTCCAGTTGGCAATTCGTTTGCCCTTTGTAGATTTGGATTTTCCCTTTTTTGTGTTTTTCCTTGTCTCTCTCACCTTCTCTCTGTTTGTTTTGTACTGACGTATTTTGTACTCCGATTTTGTTTTTCGTTTTTCCTTGTCACGGTTACAGGCATGCACGACCCATCAAACCCCATTGTCCTTTTTCTTTTTTGTTCGGTTGAGAGTAGTATTTGATTATGATGTATAAAATAGAAATACAAATATGTTAATCAAAACGTATGGTGTACCATGTTGATACGATCGTCTCTATATAGCTACGGAAGTATAGAAATTTTGCTTCATCAAAAACTCGTGATGGAACTAGAATTTTGAAAATTATAAATTCAACTTTTTTGTTGGAGTATTACATGGTCAACTTTGGGTGATAAAGTTAAGTCTCTTCTCATATGAACATTAGATGAATATGCTCCGATTGATTTATGACATAGTTTTCTTTTTTACAACTTCTTAAATATAAATATGAGAATTCAATTACTAACCAAATCAATTTAATTAATCTCTAGATTTCTGATGGACACTTGCCACCTAATTGTTTCACAATGAATTTTTATTTTTATTTTTATTTTTCCCAATGCTACGAACAATAAGTATTTGGCTATGTTACGGATTCGATTTCTTTTGTCAAGTCGATAGAACTTTAATTTTATTTTTAGATTTAATATTTGAAGGAAGAATCGCTTAAAATAGATCTGGTAAATCTCATGTTTGAATTTGCTATATTCCTTTTGAGTTGAATGCCTTCTCTCTTTCTTTTTTGGAGAAATTGATTTCCATGGCTTTAACCTGAACCAATAGCATTACCTTCCATTTGCTTCGGTCATTTCAGTCATTTCACTTGAGACATAATTGGTATGAATAATGACTCTTCGCAAATTTTTCGGAAGTAGGTAAGCAAATTTCTTCGAACAACTCTTCGCAAGGCTTTAAGGACTAGCACCTCCTAACTTGTCCCACGCAAAAAAATAAAATATGACACCAAGCGCCACCAAACCAAGCCGCCTGTGGAGCACCCATTGCCATTAGAGCCACCTAACTCTACCGCGTCCTTTGTGGAGTTTGATGTAGCACGTGCTTATGTCATGCAAGATCACATGGAAATTTATTACTCCTTTTTAGAAATTGGGACGTTAGGAAATTTTCAAACGAAAGGCCGTTTTACAAATGATTTTTACCTACCAGAAACTATATAGAATGTCAATCATTGTTTTGGTGCTTGAACGAATATACTCGTGCATCATTCTTTTCCCCTGGTGGGAGACGTACGAATGTGAACTGCATAGTTGCGTTTTCGGGTATTCAAGGTAGTTTTTGTGAAATTAATTATGGTGAACGTGATGTGTATATTTAGAATATAAAATTATTTATGAGTCATATATAATATTTTAAAATATAATGATTATGATATATATATATATATATAATTAATTAAAATATATATATTAATTGTGATGCATGTAACTAGTGATGGTATATATATGACATATCATCAACTTTTGATAAAAGCTTAGGTTGAGGTTAAGAAAAAGAGAAGTCAAATAATATCTATTATTAATAAATATATCAAAATGAGAAACTATTTTTCATCATTATGTATGCCTGTCAGTATTGATTTAAGGTCTGAATTATGTGAAAAAGCCTAAAATTTTAAGATTCATGGGTATGAATATGATAAATTTATATCATAATTATAATTTTATTCTTTCAGTGTTTTTTTTCCTAAAAAATAAAAAAATAGTTTGTTTGTCTTCTTCCTCCGCTGTTTGGAATAAATTGCATAGATAAATAGAATATTTTTAGTAAGAAAAGGGCAAATAGAATGAAGTTAAATTATCAGAGTTATCCTTATTTGCCAACTTAATATGATTTAAGTTGGAAATTCATCAAGTATGCAACAACATCTTTTTTAACCGCTTTTTCTCGCTTATTTATTTCTCTGTATACATTCAATGGATTGAGTTTTTCAATTCTACATCGATGATTGTGAATCCAAAACTATTATATGATTTTGTACTGATGAAAACATAAAAATCCGGACCTTGTCAATTTTGTTTAATAGCCATCCTAATAATAACCAGAAGGTACTATCCGTGGCCTAGTGTCGCAAATTATAAGGAATCGGGTGTCACATAAGGCATATCCTATGAATTTAACACGACATAAGAAACTCACATGTAAGAGGTTATGATAAAACTTGTCAGCAGATTAGATACTGATTTGAATTTAATTTAAACTATCATATAATTAAATCAATCTGAAATATAATTTTTACAGTTCTTTTTTAGTAAACATAGATAATACGGATCTACCTTTATCAAATTCGACATTAATCATTCAAAATTAATATTAACATTATTTTTAATAAATATAATATTTAAAAAAAAACATAATACATATAAGAAAAAAATATGGCACTAGTTTTAGATTTAGTGTTTATTTACTCGAGATACTAAGAAACGTTTTATACCTCTGTTCCTTTTTTCTCTACATTCATAGCTATTTTTTCAAATAATTACGTGATAATTTTTTTTTTCAATAATTTTGAGAACTCCTGTAGACACGTGAAAAATAAAAGTGTTGTTGCTGGTATTATAATCTAATTTATAAAATCTTAGATTTAATCTGGAGTTTTGTTCGTTTCAACCTTGTTATTTATAAAACTCTTTCATACCGATCAAATTGCTTCTATAACAAGCATTTTTATTATTTTTCTTTAATTTTTTTATACTTCTTGACCACTTTAAATTAATTTTTATTTTTAATATAATTTTATATCGGTATTATTTGATTTTGTTCTTTTTAATGGTGAGGCGTAAATTTTTTTTATAAAAAAAATCACATAATAAATAAAATTACATATTAAATATTATCATTTAAAATTTATTTTACACTGAAACATTATTTTAAATATAGCTAATATTTTTTATTTAAAAATAAATTGAATGATAAATCAAATAGATATCAAAATCTATTTAGAATCTATCAAAAATTGACTCTAGATCAATAATCATAAACTTAAATTGATAAAATCCAATTTGTTTACTAAACAAATCGAATCTAAATATATTCTCATCCGATTTAAATATAATATTTTAGCAATTCTAGTCAACATAATAAAAACATTCACGTGTAGTCAAATTATGGGAGATGCACAAAATTAAAGGCCCACCCAATCAATTTGCAACCACCAACACCGTAATTACAACGAAACTAGATACTCTCCTTTAAAAAAAAAAGCTCATGCGAGGAAACACTCACCTACTACAAGTCGTTTTGGGATTCGACTGGTTTCGCGACAAAAAGATAAAAGGACCATTATCGGCCCATTGGAATTTTCTTAGACTACTATATAGGCTTCTTGGAGAAATTGAGGGCGGGACTTGACCATTTTCAAAGGTGTTCAAAGGCCCAGATGGCCGGATAACATTTCCTGCTACGTTTTTTTTTTTTTTTTTCGTTTTCACCGAATTCCAACAAGAAGTTAGCTGTCCAATTAACCATTCTCAGCCAGCAATTAACTTGGTGCTGAAAGAAAATTGCAAGAAGGGGGAAAAACAGCTGTTCGTTGGAAAACCAACCATGTGGTTCGCTATCTTTGGAAGAATTATAATAATGGGTTGTTTGATGCCATTGGGGGTAGCAAGCAGGGGAGCTCCTTAGTCCTTAGATGTGTTTTAATAAAAAGAACATGATCAGGTCAACGTGAGGGATAGGATGACAGAATGCACTAATCAATGAGTCCTGAAGCTAGAGAAAAGTAAGGACTTGTCCACCTTATTGATGGACGAAACTTAAAAATTGTGATGCCAGTAGAGGAAAACCAGGAGAAACAGGAGCGGCGGGATTATTATAGATTGACAAGGTCATTTCATAGTGCTTTTGTGGGTGAAGTTCAGTGTATTTCTTGCAGATACAGAGCTGAATTTTGGACAGTATAAGTAGGTTTCGAGGTTGCTTGAGACGAGGTAGGGACTGATAATGCGCCTTTGGGCGGACCTTATCAAAGGAATGATGGTACAAGGATGGAGTATTCTTGTCAAGCCCATTTACGGAGCACCTCTGGTGTCCTTGCTAAAGTGGGTACTGAGTTCCCTCTTGTCCCATGGAATGGTCCAATATAACCAAGGCCCACATGGTCCTGGAAAGCGTTACGGGCATTTGCTTAGTTTTTGTTTTTGGGCTTTGGGCAAAAGATAGAAAGCCGAACAGAGATCAAGAGCACAGGTCTACAACTCCCCGGAGGAACGAAGACTGCATCCCTGGGAAGGTCAGACAAAATTATGTAGATGGGCAAAATACAATGTCAACTGTGACTTGCATGCATATAGTACTTATAAACTCCAACTGAGTCCATTAACAAGGATAAATTAACAGCGCTCAAGACACCAAGAAGAAATACAATCCGGGTAACAATCATACTAACAAATAATAAAAAACACAAATATTAGTCAACTAGACACATCAGAGTAACTCCATATGAAACTCTAATCTTCATACTCCTGGTATGTCCTGAGAAGCTCAGTGCAGCCGGACATGGGCTGTGCCGCCATGAAACCCATAGAATTGGCATAGCGGGTGGTTGAAACAAGTCCATTGTAATTGGTCAAGATAACACGTGCACGATCACGGCCAGCAGATGGTGCTCTGCAGTTCTTCCAGGGGCTGCTAACTAGCATGCAGTCGCAAATTTGATCCTTATGGTCCTCATCAACATTGATGGTGTATTTTCCAGTTGAGTCTGTTGTTTCTTCCTTGCTGTAGACAAGAACTTGTGTCTTCCTGTCCATGCATTCCAGTCGAACCTTGGCACCTGTAGAGAGAGAAAACACAACATATAAAGGATACATGAGTAATCATCTTTAGCGCCTGACACTATTCTAACAGGGCAGCCTTTATATCAACAAATATACAACAATGATCGGTTGGTAGCAGAAGATTTCCAAATTGTTATCGATCGTTGGTGATTACGACACACACTAGAAGGGAACATTACGAAGATGAAGCAGTAATTAACATCCAAATGTCCATAACTGCGATCAATCTAATCAAACATCTTTAACATGTCAATTGCATTCGAAATATTGTAGCACGATTTTGTGTTCTCAACAAATCAAACAGCTTTAAAAGAATACACTGGTTCTGGACGCACAATTGATATTAACTAGAAAAAGGGCAGTAGCGGTAAATAATCTGTTTTATTTTGTTTTTTTAAATTACGGATGTGGTTTTGACCAGATCTAATTTCAAAAATCAGTCAAACACCAACCACCATGTAAATCCAGACTTTTTTCAGTTCATTTCTCGGTTTTCTAAAGAAAAAGAATATATACACATCACAATTAACTTTAATATTCAGTAAGATCTATAGATCTACAGCCAGGGAAACATAGGAAACAAATGAAATGAGGTGATATCCGAAACGAGAGAGAGTTGTTATACCTGCAATGTAAGTTGTTTTGGAGGTTTCAAAACCAGCAAGGCAAGTGTCACAGTAGACGAGTCCTTCCACCGCAAACGGGGCTCTCCCTGGGCGAGCAGCGCTCACGAGGGCTGGTAGCACACATAGAGCAAGCAACAAAAACACTCGAGCCATTTTGTGATTTTTCGTTACAGATGTTGCGAGAGATTGAAAGTGAAAAGCAGATGAGTTAGAGTGGAGAAGATAAAGCAACAAGAATAACAAGAAGGAAATGGGAAAATGAGTGAAATAAAAGGAAAGCGTGTGATTTCCGAATGCAAATGCGGTGATTATGCGTTGAGAAATATTTGGGTGCACCAAAGTGCTCATCAGTAAAGCATATTTTGGGGCATTTACGTCATTTTAAGGGACTAAAATAGGACCCACGTATGCTCGTTTTGTTGCGTGGTATGTTCTGATTGGATAGACAATTGAAAGTGCAGGGAATGAGAAGGGAAGTAGCGTAGAGGAACGAACACGGTAGTGAATGAGCAGCTGGAAATGTCGGTGCTCACATGGGGGGGGAGAGAGAGAGAAAAAAAGAGTATTGGTTATCCAAGGAGTGAAGGAAAGTGTCGATCAGCTGTATTCCAGCCCATCCAGAGGGAAATTTTTTACATTCACATGTGAGCTGTGACCCAATTTAATTTTGGGCTCTGTTCAGTGAATTTTCCGTCGGCAAATTTTCTTTCCGGGACGAAGACGGTACTTGCCATAAATTTTCTTTCGGTTACATTCAAACATCAAAATTCGACTTTTTTTTTTTTTTTTTGCAGTTTTTAAAGCATTTGATTTTTAATTCAAAAGAATCTGTAAATCATAGTGGGAATGGAGTTTCAAACTCCTCGCAAATATATTGTTAATAGGGTTCAATCATATTATCAATAGTTTTTTTTTTTTGCCTCTATATTTTAATTTTTTTAACATCCATCTTAAAGTTTTCAAAAATGTTTCACATATAATTTTTAATAATTTCTTTCGATATTAAAGATATTCTTAAAATAGTCTTGTTAGTCAATTAAAATTAATTTTTTTAAAAATAATCTTAAAAACATACTTTTTTATTTTAGCCTGATTCATTAAAAAAAATTAATAAATTCTTTTTAGTGTTTAGACTAAAGTTTAAATTCAAAATGTCGAAAATAAAGCAAAATTTCTTAATCATTTTACCAACCTCTTGAAATTAAATGCATTTCCAAACAATTAAATAGCTAGAATTTAATCCAATTCCTATTTTCTTTATTCAAAAACAAAAAATTATATGAATAAACTTTTACCGTACTTACAAGATGGCTAAACGACTAAACACCTCCGCTAGTTCGGTTAGGCTTGATAGTGGTTGGGGCCAAATGCTTTAGTTGAATTGTTTCAAGAAACAGGCTCAGAAATTGGATCCAGTCCGCAAGGTCTACATTGGGCTGGGATACATCTATCCCATGTGGGTGCAAGCAAGGACGATGATTTGGTCCGATAACGTTGCGATGGGCCCACACCCTTCCACGAGCTGAAAGACCCCAAGTGAACTGTGTAAATGCCACCAAGGCTCCAAATACGGAGTAGCAGAGCACCGAGTTCGGTTGGCAGAGTATTTAACAAAATAACTTAGCAAACAAAGGTAGTAGATGCCCTAGATTGGGGAAACTGTAGGGAATTGCCTTATCAATACTAGTCCATCTCTGTTACACTCTGCTAATAAAACAATTAAGTCGGTCCGGTAATTTAATCGAATAGTCTTGTTGATTTGTATGCTGCCGTTGGAATCACGGAATTATTACATCTTCCTTGGTTTTAGTGACCAAAAGTGACAATTAAGATAGAGTTTGGAATAAACATAAGGAATGTGGTGGGGTTGAAATGTCCTCTTATTGTTTTACGAGAATTCCACTTCCTAACAACAGTTTTTTTTATTTCTTTCTGGTTGGACGAAAATTAACCTGCTCAGAACACCATGCCAATGTACATTAGGAATCTGTGGGGAATCATATATGCATTTTTTTCTAATTGTAGATTTGACAAATGCTATAAATTTCTGCGGATAATTTTCTTCTTCGTAATACGATTAAAAGTCAAATAGGCCTGGCCCTAATTAACAGAAGAGATATCCAAACTTTGCTGTGAGTCAACGCTTGCAGTCTAGGGTTGCTTTTCGGTGTTGGTTAACGGATCATTTCACTATGGAACTCTGCAGGCACCGGTCAATGCCTTCTCCCGGGGCAAACTAGCTAGGTGCATTTTTCAGCAATGTATTTTACTGTTCTGCTTTAATGCATTCCCCATTCACGGCCAACAGTGCATGCTGGTAGCCCATCTAGATAAGATTTAGAGCACGCGCAGCTTTTGAGTGTCGACGATGAATTGTCTATTAAACAACATTCCACATTCTGTTTATAAGCTTGAAATCCTAGACTCTGCCGCCATTTTGAACAGCGTCTCCTTCACCTGACAGTTTTTGCCAGCACGCAATAAGATTTGAAGTTTATATATATATATATATATATATATATATAATTACTCCTAGGTACAATACTTCTTGTACTGTCAAACGTTTTGAAGTAATTGCAAAATTGGCATTTGAGACTTGATTTCGAATTCTCTCATGCGAAAAACGAAAAACCTAAGCAATCTACATTTCATTTGACCTCCATTCAATCTGAAATAATAATTAGATTTGTGTAAGTCATAGATAGAGGCTTATTTTACCAGCTGGAACAGTCGGTGTTGAAGCTCATTAGTTAGGCCAACTTTTCAAAAGTCCTTTTTGTTCTAGTACTCCCTGGGCCTAACTCAATTACACGCCTTCTCCCATAGGAAACTGAAAATGGAGTAGAATTCAACCTTTGATTGTGTAAAATTTTTAAATTCAACTAGAAATCTATTGGTCAGATTCATCCATGAATCTTAGAACCAAATGCAGTTGCTCTAGAGCCTAGGCAGTACTGTTCCTAGGAATAGAGTGGAGCCTCTCATTCAAGCAATAATTGATTTGGCCATTAAGTCAAAATCAATATCAAAGTGATGAATTAATATGTGCTCCTCTAATGTTATATGAAGATCTTTTATCCACCAAATCATTTAGATGCCCTCAATTTGCAAGTGGGATTCCATTAAGTTGTCTCCACTGAAAACCAGAATAACTCCATTTTAATATATATCATGTGTTTGTTTCAGCTTAATTTGTTATCTTACGACCTCGTTTTAATTAATGATAATATCCTCAATACACATTTGTTTGTTACAGGATTGGCGGTCAATACAATCACATACGTGTTTATACAAAACAAGACCATATTTAATTAATGGCTTCTCTTTGTACTTTGTTGACCAAATGAAAGAAGCAACCTTCTCAAGTAAATCAGGTTCAATATCTTAAACCAAAGTTCCGTTTAAAGTAGATGACTGTTTCATCAGAAGTATAGGTTTAAAAATTGCAGATTATCTGATATATAGTTTATTCTGTTTGCTATGAAGAGCTCATTTCCTCGCAAATACAATAGAACTAGTGAATAAATGAACTAATTTTATCTCCCAAAAGCAAATAGATATCTGTTTCTTATACTCTTCAATATCAAACAATTAATGTAGATTTCTTGACAGATATTTCTCTTAAAAAAAAGAAGAAAAACGGCTGCATTGAGTACATGTTCTACAGCTTAGCTGGATGAATGGACACCGCAATTATAGATTTCTTAATTAATCATGATCAAACGATTAGCAATTCAACACATTTGATTGGTCAAAGTTTCTAGATATTGACCTCATCTAATTGTGTTAAAATATAGAATAAGAGCATTGCAGAAGCCGGTGTGTATATAACTTATATATACACATGCAAGTTAAAAAACAAATAAGAGAACTACAGAAAAATGGAGATATATTCAACAAGACAGCTGCTGATCACATGTGTCATAGTTTTATCATTCTATCTTTCGCATGGAAGAGTAAATCCCAGCTTTAAAATTAAAGCAGTTAATCTTGGTGGTTGGCTTGTTACTGAAGGATGGATTAAACCTTCTCTTTTTGATGGCATCGCCAACAAAGACTTCTTGGTTGGTATATGCATGATTGTAATCTTGTATATATATGCGTGTGTGTTCGTCACTTTATTGTCATTCTGTAGAGTTGATGATTCTCTTAGATCATGATTGTCATTTATTGTCAACTTTTCTAGGATGGAACCGGACTGCAGTTTAAATCAGTCACAGTTGGGAAGTATCTTTCCGCTGAAGCAGGTGGAGGAAACATTATAGTTGCAAACCGAACTTCTGCCTCAGGCTGGGAAACTTTTACTGTAAGTTTCTTTTTCTTTTCTTGTTTTTTCTACTGAAGTTCATAAAATTTCACCAGAACTAATCACAATTAGTTGTTTGTGATTGAAGTTGTGGAGGATCAGTGCAACCAATTTCAAGTTCAGGGTCTTTAGCAAACAGTTCGTGGGCTCGGACACCAAGGGCAATGGGATTGACGTTGTAGCTGTTTCAAGAACACCTGGAAGATCTGAAACATTTGAAATTGTGAGAAACTCTAATGACTCGAGTCGCGTTAGAATCAAAGCATCCAATGGCTTCTTCTTGCAGGTGACTTGCTTTTTCTCCTTTTATTCGTAACGACGAATCTTTTTTTTTTTTTTTTGGTTGGGCTTAAGACAAGCAATTATAATTAATTTATAAGATATGTAAATAACTATAAGCAAATACAATATCTTTTAACCAACTTAAGCAAGGTTATGTTGTCAACTGCAGGCGAAAACAGAGGAGCTGGTGACAGCTGATTATGCAGGCGCCAGCAAATGGGGAGACGATGACCCATCAGTCTTTGTGATGACCATTGCTGGAAGGTTGCAAGGAGAATTTCAAGTAACTAATGGTTATGGTCCAAAATTAGCACCAACTGTTATGAGGGTAAGAGCCTACTAAGTTTACAGCTTCATGATTTCCCGTTAATCATTAGCTTCCGAAAGCCATGACGGAGTCATATCTACAGTGCTTTGGTTGACAGGATATTTTTTGGACAGTTTAACTTTGAACCATTTTATTTGCTGTTGAATCCTTAATGGATGGATAGCAAATTTCTGTTTTTGGGCGGCCTAGAAGAGTTAGTTAAGACTTGAGCTTAATTATACCTCTTAGAACTTCCCC